ATTGCTGATGTGGAAGCCAAATAATCCTATCTAATTGTGTCTCAATGTGTTTTCTATTTTAAACCAAGCTTTTCCCTTGTGCATTATATACCAGTCAAATATTCATGATAACAGTACGGAATGATAGTATCTCTTAAAATCTGGTACATTTAGACCCCCCTTTTCTTTGTCTCTAGTCATCACTTGATATTTTATTCTTATTTTTTTATTGCCTCATATATATCTCAATATAATTTTTTTATTGTTCCCCAGCATATATGTTGGTAACATATGTAGTTTATATAGGATTTTCGGTAATATTATCCATATTTATTCGTCCTAACCAAGGGAATGATCGTATAGAAAATTCTTCCTTAATTCATCTTTTATCTTATTTATTAATGAAATATAGTTTTACTTTATATAAGTTTTTAAGGGACGGGGTTAACTTTATTCCAAGGTATTTTAGTTCTTTTTCCCTCCATGCGAAAGGGAATTCCCTCTGTACGTCCTTCTTTTTCTTATTGGGATCCATTAATATTTAAGATCTCAGATTTTGACTGATTAATTTTTAATTTTGATAAGTCTCCATAATACTTTAAATATTTTCATTAAATTTGGCAGTGGTCAGCCTAAGTTTTACCACATAAAATAGCAGCCCAATCATCCTGCATATGCTGCCACTTTATGTTCTATTTCTCCTATTTTTATCTATTTTACATCTCGGCTGTTTCGCACCATCGCAAAAGAAGACGCTCTAAAGATAGTACAAACAACAAGGGCAGCGCAGGTTCCTTGTCTTGTCCCACTGTGCATTTAAAAAACTTTAACAGCGAGCCATTTACTCACTTCACTGCCGCTGAAGTTTGAATATAGAGCCTTCCTATCCATTTTCTCATTTTGGGTCCCACTCCCAATGTCGTTAATGTATCCATTATTCACCCCCCCAATCTACCCTGTCAAATGCTTTCTTAGCGTCTATTGATAGGGCAAAAACAAGTGATTTATCTCTCTTGCTTTTTTGAATAAGAAATAGAGACTTTAACCCATTATTCTTCCTTTAGGGACTAATTGTTCTCTAGATTTCTTGTAATATCTCAATGTATAGCCAACTGGCCCAGAGCTTTTCCCTGCATCTGTACTCTGCAATGCCTCTTTGGTTTCCTCCTGTGTTATTGGTTTTTCTAGACTTATTAGACTTTCCTCTTCCAATCTCGACAACCATGTCCCCTTTTGGTACATCTTACTATTTTGAGATCTTTCCACTTCACTGTGTTTTAGATTTTTCAGTTTTATATCATACAACTTCCTGTAGTATTTTTGAAAAACTCTAGCGATATCAGTGGTCGAGTGTACCAAGTCTCCATTCTTATCTTTAATCTTTTCTATGAAATTCCTCGATTTCTTATTTCTCAGTGTTCTCATTAAAAAATTTACGGGGTCTATTCCCCCACTGATATCTTTCTTTTGCCACCGTATTAAATGTTCTCCTTGTTTCTTTTTCCAATAAGTTGTTTCAGTCATCTCTTTTCGATACTGCTGGGTGTCTTTTACCATCCTCTTTTTGTGTGATTGTTCTAGGTTATATAGTTTTCCTATTATCATATTTATTTTCTTTTATCGTTCTTTCTTTTTTTCAGCTACCCCTTTAGCATGTTTAGATGGTGAGTCTGCATAATACCAGATAGGATAATTTTTAGAATGTAGCTTAACATTTGTTAATCTGCGATAAATGAGTCTCTTGTAAAAAACACTGCATCAATAAATCGTCATTGTAATTCTCTAAAGATCTTATGTCTCTTCACTGGAGAATTCATTCCCTTTACATTATAGGTCATAAAGTTCACCTCCACTATATCCTACATTTTATTTCAATTTCTCCTTTTTTCATCCTGAGGGAAGTACAGTTATCTATCAATGGGCACTCCAAGATATTTCTTAATCCCCAGCCCACCCCGCCTCCCTCCCATATCCTTCCACCCCCCTTCTCCTGTCCTCCACCCTCTCCCAACCAATCCCTTGGCCCTTATTTCTCCTTGAATCATTTGTGGTCCTAATCCCACTACTGATTCCACCTGGGGCGAAACTTCTAGGGACGAAAATCACGACCCCACTTTCTGGGTCGCGAGTCTAGTTGCATGAGTTACCTCCCATTTCCCGCCACTCCTCTGAAATTCTCACTATGCCTAGGCAGGAGAGGAAAGAGAGAGAGAGAGAAAAAAAAAGAAAAAAACACTCACCAAAAAAGGGGAGGAATAGAAGTCTTCACAAGGCTTCAAGTCCCTTCCCCCCCTTGTGCCTCTTCTCCCTTATTTATTTTCTCTTTATGTGCTCTCTTTTTAGGGATAATTTGCCAATCCTCCTTGTCCAGTCCTATACTTTTCTTTACCCCTGCTTCCAACCTGGAATATTTGTTTCCTGTAGATCAAGTCTCTCACAAAAGACCCATAGTTCTTCTGGGAACCTCAATCTTGCTGAGCAACCATCTTTTTCATCTGTTCCAATAATGGTTTCAAAGTTCTCCTTCTACTTAATGTTTCCGGTGTTAAATTGGCAAAAATTTGTAGATTGATTTCTTCATATTATATTACTGGTATCCCTCTTATCTTCTTCCAAAGATCTACTTTATCCCTATAATGATGAAATCGTACAATTACATCTCTAGATTTTTCATTCGCCCCTCCTTGGAATCTTCCAACTCTGTGTATTCTATCAATTTTCACCTGGTCTGTTGGTCTGATCATAATTGTGTTGAACACTTTCCTCATATTCTCCATCAGGTCTTCTCCCTGCAGGGTCTCAGGTATACCTCTTATCCTCAGATTGTTCCTTCTATCTCTGTTTTTTTGATCTTCCATTTTGTAGCACAGTCTCCTTTGTTCTTTCCGCATGTCCTCCATTTGTTTTCCAGGTTAGTTATCACTTGGACGTGTTTACTAAGTTTGTTGTCCATTCCATTTTTTCCACGGGACAGGACTTGCCCCAGATCCTTATGTAATAATGCCACTTAATGTTTTTTATGGATTGTTCTAATCTCAAAAACCTTTCTGCAATTTCAGTTTAAGTAGGCAATTGTGAGTTTTTTTTCTTGTTCTTCCATGTTCCTCATATCTGGCTCTTTTTCCATATCAGCAATTTCTTCAATTTGACTCAGGTTAGATAATCCCAGAGACAATCTGGAGCAATCCCCAATATTTTCAATCTCCTTTCTACTGCTTGCTCCATGTTGTCTCTCTGGGGTTTGGCCCTCTGGACTTTTCTCTTGTGAGGGCATATATTTTTTTAATTGTACTCAATTGAGATGTTTTAGATCCTCCCCCTTTCACAGATTTACTCTTTATAGTGTTTGTGAAATGTCCCTGCCTTTTTAAATGAAGGGGAAGTAGAGACAGGGATATAGAAAAATACTTCCACAGGACAAGGTAGAATGGAGTTATATTACACCTTAAATGTTTGCATTCCTTTTATTTTTCCTCTAGGAATAATATCACTTGGCTCTCCCAATTTATCCCCATCTCAATTTCCTCCCTTGGGGCTCCTTGTACCACTTCTCCTTTTCTTACACGGTTCTTCTGTCCCCACAGGACCCACTTGATGATATACTCCTAAAGTTCCTTTACAGTTAATAATCAGAATAAAATTCAGGACTCACCACTTCCAGCAGCCCTTCTTACATCACCTCTGTTCAGCCTTCATCTACTTTGCTGATTCTTTGCTATTTTTACATATCAAGCACTGCTCTGATTCATATTCCTTTTCCTCAGGTGATTCAGGGCACTCTGGGGTGGTCTGTCTAAGTCAGTATAAGGGGGATTACCCTCCTTGGTATCCAGGAGGACCTTCTCTCCAGTCTGGGTACAGAGACTCCTCTCCTCGCTTCTCCTGCTGATAGCCTCCCAGCACTCCTTTATGGCAAACACGTAACCTCCCAGCAATCGCCATTTCTTGCTCCAGTGGAGCCACCCCCCTTCCAGTTGGAAACTGTCTCCTGATCCCGCTGCCACCCAGAAGACTGGGACACCGGCACAGGACACCCCACAAGGCAGGTAGATAGCTGGCACTCTAGACCATCAAACCACACCTATGTATAGTTTCCTGCTGGTGTTTCACAGGAGCTCAAGAGCTCAGTGGCTCTCACCTCATGGACCTTGTCGTTGTCATGCTCAGGCCCCTCCCCTCCAAAATTCTAGACTGTTTATAACAGACTATTTATGACAGGGCCTATTTAGAAGTCTTTTGCAGAGTCTGCTAGTGGAACATTTATGACCTCTCTGCACTCCAACTATCTTTCTCTGCATTGTTTCAACTGTGTATCATGCTGGTCTATCCCAACAATGTTCCCAACAAAGAAATGCCTAGCACAGACGTGAGATTTAAATTTGACAGCTTGGTTGCCAACTTGCATATGACATATGACATAAAACTTCAAATAGGCACCATCACCTATCCACATTTTTTAACTGGTTTATCAGTGACAAGCTGGGCGAGTACCCTTTTGCAACAGGCAAGTGACCAGATGTTTCTTAGTTAGTCCTGCTAAAAGATCTTGCAGGACTAATTAGGTGCATGGTGAGAGTGGTAAAGGCACGTTCTGTAACAACTAACCAGCTAACTAGCCTTACAGCCTGGAAGAAACATACAACATGAATCAATTCTGTGAAGGTTATTTTCCAGTACAGGATTAAATCTGCTGCTATAGGGCAACATAGGTTGCCTCATTGATAAAAGCTTAGAATTTGTGTTGTCTGATATCAACTAGTCAAGACTTCCCCCAATTTTTTTAATGCAGTAAATATTTCATATATCTTTAAGAGGCAATATAAACACTTTGATATATACATCTGATGTGCTGTCTGTGGCAGGTTTCAGATTTTTTTTTTTAAGAAAATTGATATTTTGTGTTGTGTTTTAAATAGGCACTGCAGCTGAAAGAGAAGCGTACCATAATGCACTAGTAAATTTATATGGAAGGCACAACATTGAAAGCAGCGAGGACAATACAACCATGGAAAGTGAACCAACTGCTGTGGCCAGGATGAGCAGAGCGAGAGCAATCTCCGTACAAGAGATAACTGGAAAGTTCAAAGAATTAGAAACCCCAGAGCTTGGCCATGATATTAATCTCACATTGGTGCTGTCCAATGGAATGCCATCTGACAAAACAATAACAGTTAATTTTAATGCCAATGTCACTGGATACACCCGGAGAATAATGAGAAACTTTATGAAGCAATCTGTGTCTATTTCAATGGCTTCCAAAGAAGGTAATATAATTATACATTGTAAAATGACTTATTAACAAATTATCTTTTCTTCCAGTGATACGTAAAGCGGAACTTTCACTCTCTCAGTCAACATTGACTATTTTTAATTCTCATGCTACTGGCATTAGTAAATAGATAGTAAAGTATATCATACTTGTGTTAAACATTTTGTTTTTTTACTTTTTTTCAGTTACTTCCTAGTTTCCATGCCTAGGCAAATTATGTCATACATCCCAGGAGACCTATAAATGTGTATAATTAATCCAGTGCCACCAACCTATATAATAATTTCTTCTGATTATGGGTGGCTGCTCGCAACAAAAAGTGTTCCCACCAAAAAATCCATATACATATATATACATTGCTGTGCCTCCCTGAGTGCAAAGATCCTCTCAAATAATCACTGCATGAAAGTGCTAATAATAACAAAGAGCAGATGCATAAATTACATAAAATCATCCAATCCCCACATGTGCCAAAGTATAAATCTCATTAATCACATTAAAATTAAAATAAAGTGCTCATTCTAAAGTGCATTTATAATTTATAAAAAAAATCCATACATGCATGCAATATATTTATGAAATAAAGTCCATGTGCTGTTCAAAACTCATTCATAAGTGCATAATCCTCCACTATTCAAGTCTGCGCTCACCTCCACTATGCAATCTGCCCTCCTCCAGGTCAAAGTGCTTACTCCCTTATAATTGGAATCCTGAATGTATTCTCTCTCTCGTATATGGACTCTCTCCCATATGCTTTCAGTGATTCAAATGGATCCTTCTATTTTATATGTAACTGGCCCCTTAAATTAGAGGTCTCTGCCCGGAAGTGAAAACTCACACAAGATAGGGGACCCCCATAATGTAGTATATAAGGGAATCACATTTATTAAATAAAAAAATGCACTTTCAAGCTGTTAAAACCAATATCTGTAAGTCTCAGAGCAAGCGCTCTCGCATGACTTCTGGTCCCAAGCTCACTGCCGCCCGGCTCCACCTACACACGTATCGTCATGGGCAGGTGACTTCTTCAGTAGTAATCCAAAAGTATACACATGGGATAATTGATCAATTAAGACAGCGCTCCTCACTCATAATATACCTCTTAGTGTATCAGAAAAAAATTCATCTATATTGATGCAAATAAAGAAAAATCAATAATTAAATAGATACATTAGTAAACTAAAATATACCATACAAAAACAGTGACTCGATGTCTATGTGTATAAATAAATAAATGTCCAAAGAAATGTCCATAAATGTATATAGTGAAAACCATAAATAATATATATTCTTCAGAAATTCTTCTTATTATTAAACTTTCTGTGTTGTATAACCCAACACCACGTGAAATCCACCACCAAACAAATTAAATACACTCACCAGCTGAATGCGCTTTGGCTCTGGGAGTAACAAACTGCAATAGTCAACAATCTGACTATTGCAACTCCTTAATTTGAGTCTTCATGCACTCAAATGGGATCATAAAGGAAAGAAAGAGGAATCTACATAGCGTAAACCATCCAGACATTTTAAGTTAAAAGCTTCAGATCCGCTCACATTGAAAAGTGTCACAGCCGACACTAGCATATAATACATAAAACAATGTTGATCATAGGTTTGCTGCGGTCACAGTTTGACATCGGCAGCTCACCCATACGTGGTGATGTCACCTCTGAGGCCCCACCCTACGTGTTTCGTCATCCGACATCCTCCAGTATACACAGCCCCCTCAATATTTAAAGCCTCAGAGACAGCACACATAAATCATGATGTAGAAAACTGCATAAACCATATGATTATACTGATAAATTTGCCATTGCAGAGAAAGAAATCCCATTCAAGATCCCTTACAGCAAATATATACAACGTCTCCTGGATGACAAGGTGGTAGAGGTGACAGCTCTCTGTAAGTGGGATGACACAGGGAAAGTGCTTATATCCAAAATTATTACATTAAAAACCCCATCACTCAACATTAAGGTAAGTAAAAACATTGCTGTAAACACTCAGACTTAAAACCCCTTATTGGTATACAAGGAAAAATACTCTGCCCTCTATGGTGCGTTGCATTAATGTGCATAATGCTGTATGTTGAAATGTGCTGCATTAGGGCATCTAGTGGATAAACATATCTGCGCTTTTTTCCGACACAGCACAGCAAACACACAATGTGGAGATTTTAAGTGAATGGCACCATTTGCACCAACAAAAATGTAAAGCCAGTCTAACCCTGGGTTCACACCTAAGCGATTTCTGCCCCATTTTTTGTTTTGCAGAAATGCAGTACAGTCCATTTAACATGATTTCCCATGAGACAGGTTTCCATCCCTGTGTTTTTACCTGGTACGTTTTTTGGAAAGGGACTTTTTTGAAGGCAAAACGTTGCATTTTTGGTTCTATAGACTTCAAAGGAAATGCTGCATAAAAGCATGTATTGCATTTTTTCTGCGTATTTGCTGCGTTTTTGACGCATTTTTGCCTAGCAACAAGATCAATTTTAAAAAATTAAAAAAAAAAAAAAGCAAAATGCAGCAAAAACGTGGAAAAAACGGAAGTGCAAAAAAACAAAACGCAAAACACAATGCAGAAACGGCTCAAATGTAACCTGCATAGGGGTCACCCTAGCCTAATACTGGACAAGTTGTTTTTAATGGGAGTGCAGGGCAGGAAGGGAAGGGAAATCAATAACGTCTTCATGCAAATAGAGGTGGGAGTGCAGGACAGATACTCTTGTCTCTTCAAACAAATTATCTGAATTGAAATGTTTTATTATTGTTGTCAGCTATTATTTTTGAAGTAAAAAAAAAACATATTTATGTTTTCTTGATCATTTATTGTTATATGTACTGCCAGCATTAGACTTTAAGCTTGGTTCAAATATGTGCGGGTGGTGCCGATGCGGATCCGCACGAAAATCCGTGCATCCACACCACCCGCACAGAGGAATGCAGGCGGGTGCCATTAGTTCACTGGAAAACGGAACCGTACTGGGAACTGAGGTTCCCGTGCAGGCTGCGTTTTCAGAAGAAGCGCAGGGATTTCTTCCCTGCATGTCACGGGGCACTGGAGTCCATTCAAATGAATAGGTATTCGTGACCGCAAGGCCGCATATACAGTATGTGAACCAGGGCTCAAAGCCACCACTGGGAAAACAAACATGATCCTTTGGGGCTGGCCCCACACTGTAGGGATTAAAAGCTTGCTTAGGTCTAGCGAGCTAAAATCAGTTTTATTTACCCTATCCTCTGCTCCCCTGGCAATTGCTGCTCTCCTCTAATCCCCTAGGCTTCTTTCGCATGATCCTAACTGCCCCCTAAAAGGGAGCAGCAGCTTTCAGGCATTTAGGAGGTTCTCTTGTCACCTCCTGATGCTTGCTTTTTGTTTTGTAGGACTGCACTGCAAACGTGATCCAAGCGTTTGGCTCACAGTTGCGGAGCGGTCCCATTGATTCCAATCCGCACAAGTTTGTCAGGTGGTGCCCCCTGTCAAACTCTGTAGCCTGAGTTTAAAATGCCATCAAGGCCACAGCATGTGTACAGTTGAATTGCTAGGATTCAGAAGGGCAGCCAGGGGGCCATAAAACCAAGACTCCACCAACTGTTTTTACCCCCCCCACCTTTCCCTAAGCCACCCACATGAAACATCCCCTGTGCTGTAGCTGTGGGCAGTCCTTCAGCATCCTAACATCCAGTGCATATCTATGGGCTCTGCATTGGTCTTGATGATGTCAGAGGCCATCCAACTGCCAGAGCATAGGGGAGGAAAGGCTGTGAGGACTAGTCTTACAGCCTGAAAGGAGCCTGCAGAATCAGAGAATCAGGTAAGTTCAATGATTTTCACGGCCCCCCTAGACCTGCACAAGCATTTAACCTTTGTGGTGCTGGACCAGCCCCACTGCAAGGGAGCTTTTTTTTCTTTCCCAGGAGCTCAGGTTTAAGGCACTATGGGAGCAATTACCCAAAGCTAGAGCATGCAAAATCCCGACCCACCTGCTTCCAGACTGCTACCTTTGGCTACCTGTCTAAAAATGATCAGTAAAGTCTTTCATGTTTTATTGGTTTATTGAGAAAATCAACTAAACTATAGTAAATGGCCAACATAACTCATACCTAATGTTTATTTTTTTCTCAGGTTCTCGGAGATGCTGTTATAAATAATCCACTAAGTGCTGAAATCACATTCACTAACCCACTTAATGAGCCTCTATCAGACTGTAGAGTTTTGGCAGAGGGCAGTGGACTCATTAAACAGCAGATTGAAAAGAAGTAAGTAGAATGATATACCTACGGTGATCCATTATGCATGGCATCTGCTGTACAGGAGTTTTTATACTACAAGGCAAAGTGAGAATTTTGGATCTGGTAGTGCCTTCTAAAGGGGCCATTAAATGTAACTCTCACCTTAACTTACCATGAATGCCCTTCCTAGTAAAAGGAGGAAAATGTGCATTTTTTTCCACCTCAACCAGTATGAAGGCAGGAATAATCTGTATATTTTGGTGCACAATTTGGTTCTTTCACAAAGGAGAGGCATTTGAAGTGCACTTGCAGTAGAAACACTCATGTGCCTTGTGCAAACTGTAATAACGTGGTTTATTGGTGAAGATCAGTTAAAGGCCGCTCACAATACAAAGGAGCTACTTGAGGGAGTCATTCATTATAATGGAGGTGGGGAGCAGTAAAGAGAGCAAATGAAAAGGCAAACATCCAGGGTTGAATTAATTTTTTGGTAATAACAGCAGAAAATAAGTTATCATGTGTTGAAGGTAAAATACATTCACTTCTTCAGGGTTAAAGACATACAGCATGACTCAAGGGTAAAAATGTAAACCTCTTCTTCAGGGCTGAAGACATATTACATGGTTCAAGGGTAAAAATGCACCCCGTTCTACGAGGCTAAAGACATTCTACTTGTTTCAGCAGTAAAAATACACACCCTTCTTCAGGGATAAAGACACTCCACATGTTTCGGCAGGAAACATGCACCCCCTTCAGGGCTAAAGACATTCTACATGTTTCGGCAGTAAAAATGAGCCCCTTCTTCAGGGCTAAAGACATATTACATGTTTCAGCAGTAAAAATGCACCCCTTTCTTCGGGGCTAAAGATATTCTACATGTTTCAGCAGTAAAATGCACCCACTTCTTCAGGGCCAAAGACATACTACATGTTTCAGCAGTAAAAATGCACCTCCTCCTTCAGGGCTAAAGACATTATACATGTTTCAGCAGTAAAAATGCACCCCCTTCTTCGGGGCTAAAGACATACTACATGTTTCAGCAGTAAAAATGCACCCCCTTCTTCAGGGCTAAAGACATACTACATGTTCAGCAGTGAAAAATGTACCCCCTTCTTCAGGGCTAAAGACATTCTACATGTTTCAGCAGTGAAAAATGGACCCCCTTCTTCGGGGCTAAAGACATTCTACATGTTTCAGCAGTAAAAATGCACCCCTTTCTTCAGGGCTAAAGACATTCTACATGTTTCAGCAGTAAAAATGCACCCCCTTCTTCGGGGCTAAAGACATACTACATGTTTCAGCAGCAAAAATGCACCCCTTCTTCGGGGCTAAAGACATACTACATTTTTCAGCAGTAAAAATGCACCTCCTCCTTGAGGGTTAAATACATTTCACATGTTTCAGCAGTAAAAAATGCACCCCCTTCTTTGAGGCTAAAGACATGCTACATGTTTCAGCAGTAAAATTGCACCCCCTTCTTCAGGGCTAAACACATTCTATATGTTTCAGCAGTAAAAAAGCACCCCTTTCTTCGGAGCTAAAGATATTCTACATGTTTCAGCAGTAAAATGTACCCACATCTTCAGTGCTAAAGACATACTACATGTTTCAGCAGTAAAAATGCACCCCCTTCTTCAGGGCTAAAGACATTCTACATGTTTCAGCAGTAAAAATACACCTCCTTCTTCAGGGCTAAAGACATTCCACATGTTTCAGCAGTAAAAATGCACCCCTTTCTTCGGGGCTAAAGACATTCTACATGTTTCGGCAGTAAAATTGCACCCCCTTCTTTTGGGCTAAAGACATTCTAACTGTTTCGCAGTAAAAATGCGCCCCTTCTTCAGAGTTAAAGACATATTACATGTTTCAGCAGTAAAAATTCGCCCCTTCTTCAGAGTTAAAGACATATTACATGTTTGAGCAGTAAAAATGCACTCCCTTCTTCGAAGCTAAAGACATTCTACATTTCAGAGGTAGAAATGCACCCCGTTCTACAGGATTAAAGATATCCTACATGTTTCAGAAGTAAAAATGCACCCCTTTCTTCAGGGCTAAAGTCATTCTGAATTTTTCATGGGTAAAAATGTGCCCCTTTCTTGATTTAAACACTTACAAGAAAAGTAGCCAAAATGTTTCAGTATTAAAATGCTGCCTCCTTTTACTTCTTTGTGCTATCATTACCAATAAATCAATGAAATTCTGGATACTTGCCTCTTCATATTCCTGAAGTGGTGTTCCACACCTCCACTACATTGAAATATAGTAGTATGAACAGGCTTGGCCCACCACACCTCTATCTATAATGACAGTTCTTATGTGACATGAGAGGGCAATGGAGCACATAAAAAGGTGACCTGTCACTTTGGAAGAATAAACAAGTTCATAGCAAGTGAGATTTTGTAGTGTTATGGGCTAGTGAGGGAGCAATGCCATTAAGGGGAATGGTGGCTGCACCTTGGTGATGTGTTGCCAGTGTCAGATTCACCAGTGGGACATTAGCCTGATACTGGGATGACATTTCTGCTCTAAAAGGGAAAGGATACAGCTAAATAACAGCACATATATCTCTCCATCAGAGGCTGAACTAGTTCAATTTATAGGTGGAAATTCAGATTTGTACAGATGACTGATCCTGACTAGTTCATTTTGAAGTAAAACTCCTTGAATTTTAGGGTATTTAGTAAAACATATTATGTGTCACACCTATCCAAATGAAATATTAAATGCATTTTTGTTTTATGATGCAGAATTTCACTGAAGCCCAAAGAGAAGACAACTGTGACCATTGAATTTAAGCCTTACATGAGGGGCTCCAAACAATTAAATGTTGTGGTTTTTTGCACCAAAACTTTCACTCTCAAGGATTTCCTGATCATTGTGGTAAAAAAATCATGACTTCCTGGTTTAAACTACACAATATACCATATGACAGTTTCATAATTGTTGATTTTTGGTAATATATCATTCTAATACGTTTCATAGTTTAATCCTACACTCATTATATATCAAGTTAGAATATCATAAATTAAAATGATTATTTTAGTGCTTAAAGTATAATTGAAGGCAAAACATTTTTTATTTTAGATTTGAGAGGGATTTGAAAACCCCAGCTGTCTGTGTCCCCATTTGGGAGGTTCACCTGAAGGCAGGTGCTGTCTATTTGCTAATCAGTAGGTGGTGCTCAAACAAATGGTACTACAGCCAGGAGAGGAAGTATAGGGAAATCTGGTTTCTCTATGGTTTCCCAGGTCATGGAGCAGCATTCCGGCTGGATACACTGCATCCATGTGACCATTGGTGGCCTTCTTGGGTCAGCAGGGTCTTTATAAGTCCTTGACTCTGAGTTTTTGGTGTGCATTTTCAGTGTGAGTAGAGTGGGGAGAAAGACCCTGTCCGTCTAGCAACAGGGAATGTTTCCTGACAAGTAGGGACCAGATAGGGATTCACTATCCTCAAGGAAGTCTCCCCTTTGGGACTCGACTGGCTAGGCCACACTTCGCCCTCTGAAATAGACACTGTTGGTGTATCTCTTCCTGCTGCATATCTGTATTTGAATTGAACTGTGAGTGTTTTCCCTAAGCGGTGCTTTCCCGCTGGGTTGTTTGCAGTTTGGCATTCTCTTCAATACAAGGTCCAAGTTTTATTGCAACCAAACTCTGTACCTTTACTGCCACCACATAATGCTGTGCCTTCTCACACACCCCTTCTATTTGTACCGGTGACCATAATCACAAAGAATAAAAGTAAAATAAAATCCTGAATTTTGAGTGTCCACCAGAACACAAGTAGATAGAATGGGGACACTAGTTCTGATGACCATGGTGACTTCCAGGGATTTCCATTTCCATCTCTTTGGAGGGTTATCTTCTCTCTTTATGTTGTGGCTATAAGACAGAAAGAGAAGAAAAATCTTCACAATAGGATGGCAATAAACCTGACAGGTTATAAGGCCATGTTCACATGGGTACAACCGTGAAGGGCCGTGCACAGCAGTTCCTTGCATCCCCATGCAGGTAGTCCCATTAATGTCAGTTGGGACGCAACACCTGCATGGACATAGATGCTGCTCACAATCTGGCATCCATGCAGGTGCCTGGCCCTGAACACACACTGCCTGAGATCGTTGCACTTCAACTGCATCCACATGGATGTCAAATTGGGAGCAGCATCTGCGATGTGCAGTCACTGTGTCCCAACTTACATCAAAGGCACTGCCTGCATGGGGATGCAAGGAACACCTGTGCATCCCCACGCGGATAAACATGGTTTTCCACAGACATACGCTTTAGTACACCCCGTGTGAATGGCCTAATCCTGCCAAAGTAATGTACCCAGTAATTTATCATCTTTCCAAAAATGTACTTAACAAATAAAGTGTGGGGTGTTAAGGTGTGACATGAATTCAGGTAAAATGAAGTGAACACAAACATTCAATGATGTGCAGGGGAACTCAAAAGATTATTGCCTCTCTTTTCTATGACTGGATGTTTACAATGCATAATGGTTCGATTTATTGTGCTTCACACCGTAGTAAATCAAATCAAAAGAATAATGATGTTAGCTGTGATTTCATAGGAGAAAAGCATTGTCTAAATTATGAAATTATGAAAATCACTTCTAAAATACACTTCTAAATCTAATAAATATATATTCAGTTTATCATTCAAAATGCTTCTGTGCCTCATTTTGACATATTGTATTGTTTTATTGTTTATTGGACCTGAACTCTACAGATGAATATTTGCTACATTATAGAGAACGTTTAGAAATGTTAATAGAACATATATAGTCACCTAAAAATGTACCTTTTGTATGCACAATAGTAGTGCACTTTCTGGCATGTGAATGTGCCTAGGTCACTCCTGTCCCTACAGCCTCATGGTTGCAGTATGAGATTTAAGGCCTGCTGCCTCTGGCTGCTAAACTTAGAAGAGTTGGGGGTGAGATTTGGTTATGTCACTATTGTACTTCTCATTGTTCTCCTTGCTGGAGGTTCTAACTTGAAGAAGCAAAGCCCTGCCTCTACCAAGATGGCCTGCAGGTGGGCCCCCTCCCAGGCTCCACACTCTAGCTTTCAATCCATCTTCAACTCCCCTGCTGACTGAGCCATGCTAAGTCAGTAATAGAGGAAAGATTGGCTGCAGAGAGACAACAGGTAATCCTGGTGACTAGTCTTTTGCCCTCTGCCTGTCTTTTTTTGTGCACAGCTTCCAGATGTATGTTCCTTTTTAACAGGCAGGTTGGAGAGAAATTTGCTATATTTCCCTCCAAAAAGCTTCTGTAATCCTTAGGGTCCATTCACACTGGTACATTCACACAAAACTCGTATAGGAGCAGCAGTTTTTAGGCCCAGTGTGCATGGGCCCCAAAAGGAGAACTAAACCCATCAACCTAACCATATCTTAAAATGGGGGCAAGGCATGCTATGAATGGTAATTGTGCTCCCCAGTGAATTGTCAAGCCATCCAATGGCTGCTGTCATAACTGATCACATGTGCAGTACCATGACAACTGCAGATCAGAGGTTAAGATGGCAGCTTCCTTGGCTGTAAAGGGTACCAGGGTTTAGTTCTGCTTTAACAATCAATCACAGGTAAGGGAGAGAAGGGAGTAGCAGCAGCAAACAAGCTGCCCTGCTACACACCGTACAGAGACAGGCAATCTGCCTATCTCTGTAGGCCAACTTACAGTCAGTCCTAATTACCTCTGGTTTTGTTATCTATAAACTGGTGATAATTATTTTTTGAATTTGGTGCAGTAATAGTGTTGCTTTGTAAAAGTAGTGCTATTATGAGCAACCTGAATCTGTTGCATGTTTTGATAAAGCTACCTGAAACTGATGGCATGGCGTTTTAAATCTGGCTCAAGACGTTTAAATGGCTATACTTCCAGAAAAGTGGGGAAAATGCTTGATTACAGTATGTGGTGCGGTTTGCTGCAATGCAGGAGCACACTGGAGATAAGAAACAGTCCTTGAGCTTTTTTGTTTTTTGTTTTGTTAAAGGGTATTGAACTTGGATGGGTTTGAGGGGTGTATGGGATGCCCAAGGAAACTGCAACTTGAGAACAACGCCTTAGCAACTATGTACAAGTCCACAGACAAAGATACTCTTCTTGGAGACCTCTCCAGCCCTCCTGGTGTACCACTTCAGACCACAGATTAATTATTTTCTTCTCCCAGCTGCCTAAAGGAATCCCAGAGCAGGGGGATCCAGAAATTGCCACTTTAAAATTAAAAGTCACAGGTGAGGAACTAGTCAGGTATCCTACCAGAATGCACTCTCCCCTGGGCCTTGCCCAGGGTATGTGGGTTCAGTCCTCTCCTGTAAGCTTGTGGGTTGGTGGCTGCCTTCAGGCCTTATGCTGGGCTGGCTCCTTTGCTGCTTCCCAGGCTGTTCTCTCTCATGGGACGGTTTAACTGAGAGATCCTCCCTTCAGCTCCTGCATACAGGTAGGCCCCTCTTCTGAGTCCCCTACCAGGCTCCACACTCTAGCCTTCACTCCATCTTCTACTCCCCTGCTGATCAGGCTCTCTCATACTCTATTTAGGGGCTGTCCTAGCCCCATGCCAAGCCTCCTGCTTGGGGATTAGCCAGGATCCCTTACATATGCAGCCTCTCCTCACCCCCACCCACTGTCTCCTAGAAACTTCTCAAGCTTCTAGAGCGGGAGGAGGTATCATGGAACTGGCCTGCACAGCCCTCAGCCCGAACCTAAAAGGAACATGGCTGACTCCTCCCATGCTGATTCACACCAGGCTGCTGTCCAGGAGGTGTTGACTGTGCTCCCAGCCCAAGCAGTCTGGTAAGGATGTAATGGACAGTAATCAAACCTGTAATGTCCAAACTGTAAGTGCTATAGTGTATACAGACAGGGGTGAGAGAGCACAGGACTGTACCTCCTCCCGGCTCTCTACTCCTTACTGCTGCTAATTGTACTCTTGTCAGCAACCCAGAAGACTGCAGACTACCTGATCTGTCCTTAGCAGCCAACGACATCATCAGTTTGTAGGACATGGGCAGGTGGCCCACACAGCATTCTGGGTTGCCGGCAGGAGTACAGATAGCAGCAAAGAGGAGGAGAGAGCTGGAAGGTAGTACGGGCTGTGCTTTCTCACTCCTGTCTGTACACAGGAGTTAACATATAGTGAGTTTTTTGTCCTCTCGCCACAGCAACCAATGAGGGTTGACAAACACCCCCCTAGTGGCACCCTGGTTGAGAAACGCTTTATATATAGTACAGTGGTAAGTATGATTTATGTAAAACACAATATATAGAGTGCATTGGTCAGGTGTCATAGTGCCTCTTAAACTTCTAGTCGGGGGGATAGGGGTAAAATGCTTTGGATTTGTGGTCAGTGGAATGAAAAAATGTTCAGCCTCACTGGTTAAAGAAAGAAAAAAAATGACTGTCATCTAAATTCATAGAAAATAAACAACATCTGCTATCTATGTTTAGTGGAAGGAAAAAAGTGCCCACCATCTGTGGTCAATGGGAAGGAAATAAAAGCCTGCTATTTGCGCCAGCAAAAGAGGAAGAAATGACTGCTATCTCTTGGTCAATGGGAGGAAAAAATGTCCACCACTGGGGAGCAGTACTGCAGTACTGTGTGGAGAGCAGGGGAGCAGTGGTGTGAACAGGGTGGCATTTGGGATTACAGGTAGGGCAGTGGAGTGAACAGGGGGCAGTGGGGAGAACAGGCGGGGGGGTCAGTAGTGTGAATGGAGGGGGGGGGACGGTGGGGTGGAAAGGGATGTGGCATGGTTGAATAGGGTTGATGGTAGGAGGGTGGTGGGTTGAACTGTGGAAGATGGGACAGTAAGGTGAACAAGGGGACAGTGTAGGAGACAGGGGGGCAGTAGGGTGAACAAGACAGGATAGCATAAACAAGGGGG